GATCAAACTCAAAATCTAGGAAGAACTATTGTGATCACACACTCTATTGATATAGAAAATGCAAAGCCTATCAATCAACATGCATATAGAACATTACCAAATCAATAAGACTTTATCAAAAGCAAAATTAGTGAAATGCTAAAGAAAGAAATCATTAGTCCTATCTCCAGCCCTTAGACATCTCCAGTTGTAATTGTATCAAAAAAGAATAGCAAAAAATGATTTTGTATTAATTTTTGAAAATTAAATGAAGTTACAGAAAAGGATGTTTACTCTTTTCCAGTAATTGATAACCTTCTAGACTCCTTTCAAAATGCCAAATAGTTTACCTGTCTTGATTTAGCAAGTGGATATTGACAAATAGCCATAAGTGATAAAGACAAAAAAAAATTACTTTCATCACAAAATATGGATTCTATAAGTTTAATGTTATGCCTTTTGGATTGTGCAATGCTTCAGCTACTTTCCAACATTTTATGAATGAGCTTCTTTAATTCTACAAAAAAAATTTTGTTGAAGTATATTTGGATGATATTACTATCTTTTCCAAAATGTTTCAAGATCATCATAACCATATAAATATTATTCTAGATGTTTTTCGCCAGGCAAATCTGAAATTAAATATGAAAAAGTATCACTTTTTTCTCATCAGTGTCAAACTTTTAGGACATGAAATTAGTCGTGATGGAATTATGCCAGATGATGATAAAATTATCAAAGTTAAAAACTTCCCAAGACTAACAAATATCAAACAACTTAGAGGATTCCTAGAATTAGCATTATACATGTAGTGTAAATTATTTTGTTGTTGACTCAATTCCCAAAATCTTCAAAAATAATTGTGTCATGACTTAATTATTTATATGTTTTAATAGTGACTCAATTAATTGCATCAAATAATTGCGTCAATTGCATCAAGGATCTACAAATTTCAGCAACATGTATAATTAGCATCCTACTATTGAAAATTCATTGCCAACTTTTTAACCATCACCAAATCATTAAATGAACTTTTAAAAAAACAAGTACTTTTTGAATAGACTGAAACTCAAGAAAGAGCATTCCAAATACTAAAACAATACTTAATTTCTGCACCAATCTTGAGATATTTTGATTTTAACCAACTATTTTATCTCTATACTAATGTTTCTGGTATTGGATTAGGAGCAGTACTTGTTTAACAAGAAGAAAAACAAGAACATATCATTACATATGCTAGCAGAAGTTTAACCAAACCTAAGCGAAACTATTCTACTACTGAACAAGAATATCTAGTAGTCATCTGGGTTGCTGAACACTTTCATCAGTATCTTGAAACTAATTATTTTTATCTGGTAACTGATCACTTTACTCTTTAATGGTTAAAGACATCTGAACTCAAAGAAAAGAGAGCCAGATGAATTCTATGTCTAAAACCCTACAACTACACTGTTATTCATAGAGCAGGAAGAAAGCACAACAAAACTAATGCTATGTTACGCATGTATGAAGTTGAAGAACCTATCTATATGCTCCAAGAAGAAGATGATGATTGGAATTCTGATCATAGTTTCACAACTGCTAATTCTGTTGCACCATATGATCCTCACCAAGAAAAATCACTTTACAAAGTTGAATGGTTCATTGCAGAAAGATACTGTTCTATTTATAAAGAAAGAGCTGAAGACCATAATATCCATACCTTCTGCAACAGGTATAAGAAATTATCTAACTGAAACAGATATTCTTTTAAAGATGAATGTGCCTGTAAAAGAAAACAAAGAGCAGATGATGTTTAATTAATGATAACCCAATCCACACAAATCATTTTAGATAAAGTTTGTTCCTATTCTTTTCTAAAAAGAAAATTTCAATATTAACTCTGTGATTATAACTTTTATCAAATTCTAAGGACAAGATTAAGTAATATAGAATTTGAAGAACAAATCCAACTGTCTGACAATTACTGGTGATTATCAAAACTGGAACAACCTTCCAAATAATATAGAGAAGAATTCAATAACTATTTTGAAAATTATCTTTGCAATTCAGTCTGGTGAACAGATACCAATTCAGTCACCTACTATTAAAACCTTCTTGAAGAAACAATCAAAGAAATCTAATGTAAAACAGAATTCAGACCAGGATGTCAGTGTCCTGGCATTCAAACTTCAACAATATGGAAATATAACAATATTACCAATTGAAAAATTATATTCTTAACAACAAACTGTCAACAAATATAGATAACAATCAACAAAAATGTTTACAATCACAAAGCAAATTTTTTGAAGTCAAAAACAATCAACTTTATAAAAAAGACTGAAGAAGAAAAACTTGAAACCAACTACTCAAAGTTATTCAAAAACATGAAATTGAAGCAATACTTTATTTGATGCACAATTACCTTACTGGTGCATACTTGGAAATTGATAAAACCTTTAAGAAAATTTGTGATCAATACTACTGATCTCTGATATTTGAAAATATCAAAGACTAGATTTGATTATGTGACCAATGCCAAAAATATGGAAAATACAGAATACCAGGTTCCTTGTATCTCATCCCTGTTGAAGAACCATTTTCCAGAATTGGTATAGACATTGTAGGACCTTTACCAATTATCAAACAAGAAAACAAGTATATTGTTTTTGCAACAGATTATTTTATCAAATGGCTTGAAGCAGAAGCAATCTCTAAAGCTACTGGAAAAAATGTAGCAGAATTCATCTACCAAGTTATTATCTGTAGACATGAATGCCCAAAACAAATCCTATCTGATAGAGAAACTCATTTTTGAAATGAAATAGTAGATGGATTACTCAAACAATTTGAGATAAGACATTTATTATTCACACCATATCATTCTCAAATCAATAAATTGATTGAATTATTTAATAGAACTTTGTGTGAGTCATTTGCAAAGTTAACTAAAAGCAAAGAAGATTGAGACCAATATATTTTGCCAATACTTTTTGCTTATAGAACATTAAAACAATCTTCTATAAAAATGACACCATTTTATTTACTTTATAGACAAAAACCTCAAATATCTATAACAAATATGGATGAAATATTGCAACCAACAATTCTTGACCGATTATATTAATTAGAAGAATTTTCACAACAAGAACAAGCAAGAAAAAATATTCATAAGGAACAACAGAGACAAAAATAAAGGTTTGATCATAAAGTAACAAAGTATAAAAAGTTCAAAATCGGAGATAAAGTATTAATATATAATGCTGCCAGAGACAAACACTTCACAGGAAAACTGAAACCAAAATAGAAAGGACCCTTCTATATTTATGATTTCTTGTCCAATGATATCTTTAAGCTTAGAATAATGGAAAAAAAAGTTCTTGCAGTTCCTATTAATCTCTTTTTCTTGAAATCATATTTTAACCGATCAGTATGAAAACTTAGCATACATATACAGAAAGAAGCATCCTTTAGCTACTGAAAAGTTTAGTATCCAGGTTACATAACATGGATGCAAATGCTTAAGTAATCCAGTCCTCCACTTGTACCAAACCCAGTACAAGTATTACTGAACCCTTGAACAAAAAAGAAGACCTGAAGAAACTAGAGAAACAAGTGAAAGATGCAGTATAATGAAAGTGGTTCACAGAGCACTCCCTGTCCATTACAGTGTTGTGGGAACAATCGGGATAGGAACACGATATTGTGACGCGTCGCGCAACAATAAGTATTGGTGATGGTGGAATAATGTAATAATTGGTAATAGCGGGTACTAGGTAAACACGCATCAGGAAGGCATATAAATAGGTAGTTTATGTAGTTTGGAAGGGGGAGTTCAAATTCTGCGATTTTGGAGTTTCGTTTTCAGAACACTTCTTTGTTTTTGCACATTCACATTTTAATAAAATAAATGCTATCTCGCTTTGCACAATAAACAAGATACATTCTTTAAAGTGTACACGAAGTCCACTCCACTACATTAAAGTAAATGCCTTTAAGAAGGAAAAGATGCGACGTTACCTTTTGCACTGTAAGAGTAACACTTGTAGTCTTGAGACGTGCCTAGAGGAAAAGACGATCAAGAAGAGATTAGCAAGTGCACAAGTCGGCCAAATTGTAACCGCCTCGGAGTTAAAGCCTTACCTTATTTAGTGCCAAGCATTCGGACTATCATCACGTGAAGAGTGAACCGTTTTAGCGACAGACTCGCCGGTGACGATAACAGCTTGTTAATAAGAAAAGATCTTGGCCAAATCAATCTTACATGTCTTGACTTATCTTTAATAACATTAATTTTGGACCAGTGAAACAACTGACTTATTATTTTCTAGCTCAACAATGTGTTTAATAATAATGTTCTGTTTTTCAAATAAGTATAAATATAATAATTACAATAATTAATAATAAATGATTATAATAAATGATTAATAATATTTTAAAAAGTTTCATAACTTACAGGAGGTTCTAGGGCATTCCACAAGGTTCCAGGATGTTTCACAGTATTCCAGGATATTCTAGGATGTTCCAGTGTTTCCAGTCACATGACATGTAATACAATAAAAGCAGAAAAATTGTTACAGATAATTAGTAAGTTTGTTACTAATAAAAATTAAAATTTGTGTAATTATTGTTAAGCAACAGTGTTACATATTGTACTAGTACTATGAGAAAAAAAGGTATAAGGAGAAATTTAAAGAACATAGAAATAAAATAAACTAAGATTTGTAGAAATTTATATCAGAATCTGACAAAATGAAAAAATATTTGGAACACATAATTAAAAACTCAAAGAATAATATAGAAGTAGAGGCTGCAGAAAGTATCAGGAATGAACTATCAACTAAAAAATACAAGAAAATTGAATTTGTAAAAAAGGAGAACCTAAGGAAATAGTTAAGCATATCCCTTTCAAAAGATCAACATGATCATCATTACCAAATCTAACATTGTTTGCTTACTGATAGCTAGACTATAAAGGGGTTTAAGAATTTGATTCATTGGGCTATGCTTGTGACATATTTTTGATCCTTGCTGATTAGTGATGGTGCCCACTTTGGAACCCCAGTTCAACAATTGGCTGATTTTAATTTAAGTGCCGTTGAAAGCCTATACCTTGATATTAAGCTTATCACACACCTATATGAAGTTAATTTCTTTCTAGTCGAATTGCTGACGTTTAAAGTAGTTTTAAATGATTCTAATATTGAGCATCTGCCTGATACTTTAATATTTGTCGAAATCGCGTCAACAATCAAACATTATCTGCTAGATTCATTTCCCATCACCAAATAGCCATGTCGACAAATTTTGAATGGAACATGAATGATCTAATGAGTCTAAGCATGTAAATAGTTCAAATAGTTTCTCGCTATCTAGATCTGTATTATGGATAAAGAAAAATATCGATTCACGGGAGATAACGCGATTGACGAGCCACTACCGGCCGAACACTGTCGACAACTATTACAGTAGTATTTATTTAATGGTCAGAAGGATGATATTCATTCTTACAGATTCCTGGAAATTTTCATGAATGTACTGGCGGATTAGTTGGTTTGATTTTCCACAAAATTTTTCTTTAAAATAGAACGGCTACATATTATGATATATGGGACAAATATTCGCCTATCTCTTCTGGAGATTGATTAATTCCTCTAAAGAATTAGCAACACGAGCGATCAATGCCAAAAATAAGCAAGAAGAGATCACTCAAGCCATTCAAGAGGGAGTTATTCAAGACATAGATAATGTACGACTTAGGAATATCACACACTTCTTGGTTGTATTCCTATCCCAAATGCCGGATTCAACATGCGCGCTTTACTGAGAAAAAACAATTAAATAGTCAAATTAGGAAATTGCAGGATTATTATTTGATGGAACTATCTTTTCTTCTAGAGTGATTAGAGCAACTTGTTAGACAAAAATGCACAAACTCGATGGCTTTCCCAAATACGCGTTATCAATCGATAGTTTGCTCAATATAAATATAATTAAGATCACGTGCAAATATGCCGGTAGTTTATCGTGAAGTTGATTGTGGCAAGGTTCGAATGAATTAGACAAGTTAAATATACCGTTCCTTTTAATTATTGATCGATAACTTTTATTATTATTGTTGTGGAAACAATAGGGATGGGAACGCGACATTGAGACGCGTCGCGTAACAATAATGTCGATGATGGTAGAATAATGTAATAATTAGTAATAGCATATAATGGGTAGGGACGCGTCAACAAGGCATATAAATAGGATAGTTTATGTGGTTTTTAGAGTAAGTTCGAGATCCAAGATTTAGAGTTTTGTTTTTAAAACACTTCTTTGTTTTTGCTCATTCGCATTTATTAAATAAATTCTATTTTACATTGCACAATAATGTTTACACACCCTAAAGTATAAACCGAGTCTACGCCACTACGATAAAGTAAACGACTTTAAGGGAGAGAGGCACAACGTTACCTTTTTGCTCGTGTAGTGACACTTGAGACGCGCCTAGAGAGAATGACAGTCAAGAAGAGATTAGCAAGTGCGCGAACCTTATTCAATGCCGAAATCCAAGCGTTCGAATTATCGTCACGCGAAAAGCCGAAGTTAGCGACGGACTCGCCGGTGACGACATTATATAAAATTTTATTTAGACAAGTATAATTAGCTTTTTATCATTGATCATGGAAGTAATTTTTTTTTTTTTGCGTTAAATATTTATGCGAAGACGATATTCAGGGGTTTATGAATAAGGCCCCCAAAACTTGCAAAAAAAAGGAGAAGCTTGAGTGTTCTTTGATGAGATAAACACGTGTGACTACATGGGAATTCTTGGAATTTTGATTGCGCATTGAATTTTTAATGAAAAATTAATTCATCCGAACATTAAAATATTTCGGTAACACAATACGAAGAAAAAAGCACGTTTGCTTACCGGGTACACCCCCATGACTGATCAAATATTAGATTATGTTTGCGATTATGGCGATCTTAAGACAAGGATGAGCGTAATTATGTTGATATAGTGGTAAAAACTCAGTTAGGTCACTCATATTTTGCAAAACTATTATGCGCATCTCAAGAATTCATTCACAAGGTCTAATAGTCATTTAGCGTTAACTTACGAGATGTAAAACGTTACATCAAACTTTTCAAATTTTTCAGCGACAGCTCTAAAAATATGGAGTAAAAAATTAAATTTTTTCTCATGAAATTCGTTCTTTGGTGTTAGCCCTAGGCATGTGCTATCTTTTTAGGCTCCACAATCAATTGCAGCGTAAAAACTACCAGAATAAATCATAAAAATCATCAACCCGACTTCTACACACCGCCAAATATTTAAAATTATGCTTTAAAAATTATAATTCAAAATAAACAAGATGAATACGTAACTGTATGAAAAATTATACTGATGGAACCGCTTGAAATTGTCAGAGGGTAAAAATCGTGACGCGATTCCAGTCACGTGACTAATCGTCGCGATAGTGCTGCGAAGGACCCGTTCCGATCATGATACTCAAGGTGATATGGAGGGAATTGTAAGCGAA